TCCGTGAGGGGCCTCCGTGCTGCACTGCCACCCAGGGGGTTAGGACACCCAGAGTTCCCCGGGATTCCCAGTTGCTGGGCTGAGTGTCCCAGGATGCTTCCACCCAGCTGTGGGGTCCCTGTCCCTTTAAGACTTTTAAAAAGCACTCGCTTTTCTTTGTCCCTGGGGCGCCGGCTGCAGGGACCTGCTCACAGGTCTTACTGTCCTGTTTCCCTAGTTTCCAGCACCCCATGCATGCACTCTGTCTGTGCTCTGGTGTGGATGTCTAGGGCTGGGTGTTTAGCAGTCCTGGGCTCCCTCTCCCTCCCCACTCTGACTCCTCTCCTCCCACCAGGAGCCAGGGGGAGGGGCGCTCGGGTCCCATGTGGCTGGGCTTGTACCTTACCCCCTTCGCGAGGTGCTGGGTTCTCGCAGGTGTGGATGTGGTCTGGATGTTGTCCTGTGTCTTCTGGTCTCTCTTTTAGGAATAGTTGTATTTGTTGTGTTTTCAAAAATATATATGGTTTTTAGGGAGGAGATTTCTGCTGCTCTACTCATGCCACCATCTTGGTTCTACAAAATGGGGTTTTTAATAGACAGGAGGGTGGGGCAAAAAGTTATTAGCAAAAGAAGAGATTAGGGATTGTTTCAAGTAAGTTCACCTTCCCTTAGGAAGAGAGCAGGGGGGTCTTATGCAGATGACCTCAGGAGGAAGTGTTGCAACCTGATTGGTTTAAAATTCCACCTGGGGAGGCTGTAACTGAAATTAGGTTGGACATTCAGCCCCAGTTTGGTGACTTGGCCTAGGAGAAATGATCTGATGTTGGGCCTGCATTTTTTCTTTTAACAGAGTACAGAGGAGGAATAGACACTGAAGGAAGAAAAAAAGACTCCACAAAAAAGGAGGAATGGTAGGTAGGAGAAAGGGCTGGGTTGGTCACATTGTTGTCTGGCACCCAGTGTGGGGAGATCTCCCTGTGTGTTTGGTTAGACAGCCCAGACAGAGTTCTTGACTCTGATCAAAATAGAATTTGTGAACAGGTTTGTCTTGCCAATGGTTTTCAGCCCTGGGCAAGTTCGCTATGGATTCTGTATGACCAAAGAAAATGACAGTAAAATGTTCTTGAGGAGAAAGGGTTATACCCAAATTTATTTCCAGGTGGCAGGTCAGTCACTAGAATCCCATTCACTCAGAGTGAGCCTGCATACAGCAAGCCAGTCTCTGCCTCTGGGCCCCTCTATCTGCACAGCCATCCTCTGGTGCTCTCTGCACAGTCGTCCCATACAGCCATCCTCTGGGCCTCTCTGCACAGTTGTCCCGAACAACCATCCTGTGGGCCTCTGTCCTTGGCGCTGCCACCACTCCAGCCTCTGCTATGCTCTCCTGCAGCCTTGCAGCCAGGCCACTGTGTTGTGCCCAGAGTACTGGGTGGAGCTCTTCATAAAGAGTCAACAGCCATGTATTGCTCACAGGTGTGCAGTGAGCTAGTCAGCCAGGGCCAGGTGAGAATCCTGGCCACAGGAACTCTCATTTTATCGACAAGGCTGCATGAGGGTAAGAAAGGAAGGAATTCATTAAAGTCAGAGTAGTAGTGAATGGCAGCAGTGGTGCAGGCAGTAGAGAGCAGGGAAGAGCAGAGGGAGGAAAGGATATTCCATGGAACACCTGCTGGAGTAGGGCAAATCCCTTGCTAACTCCTGGAGGTAGGGTCACCTGGCATCCAGGGTCTGCTTGACCTACATGGCATGGGACATAAGCCCCTACCACCCTAGGATCTGGGGAGGCTCAGAGCACTGGATGGAGTGAGATTATGTTCTGGGAATTTCCCAAAGCAAAGAAAGGAGATTTTCAGGCAGGCTACTAGAGAGCATGGTTGTACAGCGGCAGACTTGTCCAAGTTACCAGGCAACAGGAACTCGCAAAGCCATATCAGAGATCTCAGTAGCCCTTCCCTACTTGTCTGAAGTAAAAGAGAGAGAGAGACTTGTGCTTAAGTCTAGAAAATTGAGTGAAGTAGTGAAGTAACAAAGACAGCACTAGGAAAAGGGGTCTCTTATTAACCTCCTGACAGGCTTGGAAGAGTGTGGAGACAAAACACAAGCTGAATAGCAGGAATATTTTGTTTAAAGCAAAGTACACATTCAAAGAAAGGGGAGTATGGGCAGCCTCAGAAGAGAGGTGCCCTTAAAGGCTTAGGATTCAGGTTTTTAAAGATTTCAAGAATGGGGTAAAGGGCTGACATGTGGTCTCATGATGTCTATCTCCAGTGGTAGAGACATTAACATGATCAGTCCTCTAGCTATTCTATAAGATGTACTTAACACAAGGAATGTATTGGTCCTATTCTTCTCCATGATAATGGATACCATCAAGCAGTGGACACGCCATTTAGGCCTGCTCGCCCTGCCTTAGGATAGGATCCGTTGTTGGCTAATCACGATAAAGTATTTGTTAGGAATCTTACCTCCTAACTCCCTGGTTTTTAAAATTTTGATTTTGGTTTGATTTTGAATATCTAAATGGTTTTATTAAATGATCATGAATTGGGCAACATTCCATATAGCATACATCCCATCATAGCTACATTATGGAGTCTTAGCCATAAGATGGAGTCCCTCCTGTTCTTACTGTATTAACTATTTATTTCTCAGTGTTTTTCATCATAGGCAGGAAAAATTAATCATGAGGCTTATCCCATAACCCTGCTCTACTTCAACATGGTAAGTTCTGAGTGAAGACAGGGTTGTGAGATTGTGGACTGAAGGTGAAAGAAACAGTCTTGAGGAGAGACTGTGGTCTGAAGGACAATGGAGACATTTTCTTATTGCCTCCTTATACCAAGCAAAATAAGCTGACCATTGGTTAGAAGAGGTCTTAGAGCCCCAGGATTCAAGGGCACCTTATAGATAAACAGGTAGACAGGCTTATGGAGATTCCAATTGACCCAAAAGCACCACAGAAGTTGTAAGTTATTGTCAGTATAATCCTGCCATTTCTGAAGGGTAATGATCTGAATTTTCACCTTAGCAGTGAAGCAAATAACCCGTGGGCATTTGGAAGGGCATTGAGAAGTGGGTTGAGCCTTTCCCATAATACTAAGGTCAAACAATAGCTAGCAACAAAGCCAAACCAAGAGATGGATCAAAGAACCAACCTTCAAATCCTTATTCTGCTACCATGGCAAGTGTCTGGAGTGCATGGATCAGGAACTGGACTGATCATGAGACCCCAAAATTCCTAGAGAAGCAAAACATGGGCTTATAACACCTCAGTACCTGAGTGGAGGAGATGGGGGCCCAGAGGTAGGCTTCTAGTCTATTCTAGAAACATCATCAAATTATCAAAAACAAAAAAAAATCAACAAGTAAGGTAATTGATTTTATTCAGACTATTACAATATGGAGAGCAGCTCAAATCCAAAGACAAGGTGGGTTTGCCTGAGGAGTTAGATTTATAGAGAGGAGTTAGACAAGTTATAGGTGGAGTGGTTTACAGTTAGGATTGTATTTGTAACCAGGGGAAGTCTCAATCAGTCAGCTGAATAGGAGACGTTTGTCTCTGCCTAGGTAGTTTAGGCTGGCTTCTAATCTCAGTTAATCATGCATGAGACAAAGGACTGGAAGTTAGAGACCTTTTGTCTGGCCTTGTTGGCAGGTTCAGGCAACTATGGAAAGGTCTGTGTTTAACTTTCTCACAGGTAAAGAAGGGGGCATCTATGAGTCTTAATGTAGCTATGAGAGAGTGGGCAGTGAGTCTTATGTAAGACATATAGGAAAAGGTAGTTTTTTGAGGTAAGCTATTTTCAAACACAAAAGGTTGGGGAGATTTCAGGGAAGGAAAAAAAGGTTGAAGGGATGTCTTAATTTTCACTGTTTTCCTGGGCACAGGGATTATGTAAAGTTCAACACTGTTAGTTTCAAGGTTATTTTTTTCCCATTATTATCCAGTTGTCTTGGTAGCTATCAGTGAAGACTTCCTTTTCCCCACTGAATTTGTTGCCACCAATGCTATGTTTCTACAATTAAAACTTCAACAATTCCTCAGTTCCATTAGTCACATTTCAATTATTTAAAAGCCACATGTGGCTCATGTCTGCCATACTGAATAGTGCAGGTATAGAACATGTTCATCACAAAATTCTATTGAATAATACTGCTGTAGGCCTTACAACACAGTGTCTAATATTTTGTGTTTTATAAAAAGTGATGTCAAACAAATAACACTGTTAAGGGCATATGTGAAGAAATTAGAACTCAATGATGGAGCACAATTTGTTGTGAGCATTTTCTACTGAGACAGTGTTGAAAATACAAATATAAAACACTTTTGTAAAGCATAGACCGTGGAGACTAATTCAAGAGATATTTGCTTGTGTATAATGCTCAGCTCTAAGGATCCTGAGCAGTACAAGGTCTCTTTGTTAAAATATTTTTATTTGAAATTCTCCTTAGTAACTAGAATTCCAGAATCATCAGTTAATTTGGGGATGGTAGTGAAAAGAGCTGTATGAAACTAGTTATAAACATTTATATTAAGAGCTTTAATGAAGATGCTTCAGCACCACTTTCCAAACATGAAATACTGACTTGTAAGACCACCAAAGCATCCATTTATATTCTTAATTTGCATTCTTGGGACAAGCTGTACATACGGCTCTCTGTGACCACAATTTAATGGTGGTGCAGGTATTTCTGAATACTTAAAATGTTGTATAGAAAATGAATATTGCTAAATGAAAGAAGGTATCTTAAATGGCTACACACTGTATGATTTCAACTATATGAAATTCTGGAAAAGTAAAACTACCTAGACAATGGGATAAATGGTTTTGAAGTTGGGATGGGGGAGTGAAACTATTCCGTATGTTACTATAATGGTAAATACATGACATTACACCTTTTTCAAAACCCACAGAACGTACAACACAAAGAATGAACCCTAATATAAACTATAGTTTAATTAATAATAAACATCAATATACATTTAAAACTTGTAATAATGCATATACCAATGCAAGATAATAATGGGGGAAACTGGGAAGGGGTCGAGTATATTGGAGCTCCCTGTAAATTTCTGCTTATTTTCCAGAATGATATTAAAAATAAAATCTACTAATTAAAAAAAATACTTAAAATATCTACAGAAACCTGCAGAGTTTTAAATTTTTTCCTACAGGCTCATCATTTCAAATGAGTTGGTGCTTCATTTTTCACAAATGCTATAAGAAAACTAAAACTAATCGAATTTTATAGGTACTGCTTAAGTACTTTATTAATCTACTAATTAACAAATATTCAGAGTATCCTATATATCCTGCACAATTATTTCATTTAATCTATGAAGCATAGCACACAATGCTGAGATACTACTGTTACTACTTTTAGAAAACAGGAGACAGTTCTGAGAAGTCAAACAATTGATAAACAGTGGAACTGGCATCTAATCTGGATTCCCAACTCAAAGTTCTAAACCATAAAACCGAATGAAAAAGATACTGTGATTTCTAATGCCGTCAGCCGAAACAATGAATGGCTGATAAACCACGGAATACTATTGAATCTACTACTCCCCGAAGGCAAAGCGGTTTCTGTCCTTTAGCCTATGCCCGTGAGTCTGGAGGGCCCGGCATGCCTTGGGGCGCGAAAGGCAGCCTGGGAGCTGTAGTTCTGGAGGCTTACCCACTTTGCCGGAGCCGCGGTGGCGGCTCTCTTGGCTTTAGCCAGCTGCACTGTGAGGGCGGGGCTGAGGCGGAAAAGGGTGTCAGCACTGTCTAAGCGATAAAGGAAGACGGCACCGCAGCATAGGGCTAATTAAGTAAGTGCACTCGTACTGCTGTCTCACCTGAGACACTGCATTTTTAGCGCCAGCGAGAGGAGGGTGAGGAGGAGCCAGAGCCGTGTCCTGGCCCCGTTCTCGCCTCTAATAGCCCGCCGCCATCGCCACCATGCAGTCCCGGGAAGAAGCTCCGCGCTCTCGCCGCCTTGCCAGTCCCCGTGGAGGGAGGCGTCCCAAGAGGATTCACAAGCCTACGGTCTCGGCTTGTGGGCCCGGAGGAGCTGAAGGACACTGCCCATTCTGCAGCTTTGCTGGCACAGTTCAGGTCCTTCTACGACGCGCGTATAGCTAAGTGAAGCCAATGTCCAGCGCCTTTACGCGGCCTCGGACATGCTACATCTAGAGTACGTGCGGGAAGCCTGTGCCTCCTTCCTAGCCCACCGCCTTGATCTGGCCAACTGCACTGCTATCCTCAAGTTCGCTGACTCCTTCGACCACCACAAGCTGCGGTCACAGGCTCAGTCCTTTATAGCCCACAACTTCAAGCAGCTCAGCCGCATGGGTTCAGTTCGGGAGGAGACTCTGGCAGATCTGACCCTGGCCCAGCTGCTGGCAGTCCTGCGCCTGGATAGTGTCGATATCGAGGGCGAACGGACAGTGTGTCACGTGGCTGTGCAGTGGTTGGAGGCGACTCCCAAGGAGCGGGGTCCCAGTGCAGCAGAAGTCTTCAAGTGTGTCCGCAGGGCGCACTTCACTGATGAAGATCGAGATTACCTGGAAGGGCTGCTGACCAAGCCCATTGTGAAGAAACACTGCCTGGACCTTATTGAGGGTGCCCTGCAAATGCGATATGGTGACATGTTACACAAGTCTCCGGCGCCAAAGCCAGAGAGCAGCAGCGGCTCTGTTGTTCCTGCAGCAGAAAACCCGCCCCAGAGGCTGGGTATGTGTGCCAAGGAGATGGTGATCTTCTTTGGGCATCCCAGAGATCCCTTTCTCTGCTATGACCCATACTCAGGCGACATCTACACAATGCCATCACCTTTGACCAGCTTGGCTCACACGAAGGCTATCACTTCCTCAGCTGTCTGTCTCTCTCCAGACCATGACATCTATCTAGCTGCCCAGCCCAGGAAAGACCTCTGGGTGTATAAACCAGCCCAGAATAGTTGGCAGCAGCTTGCAGATCACTTGCTATGCTATGAGGGCATGGATGTGGCATACCTCAAATGGCTACATTTACATTTTGGGTGGGTGAGACCCTATTACCGGAATGAAATGGAAGGAAGTGGAATGCTACAGCAGCATTCAGAGGAACCAGTGGGCATTGGTGGCTCTACTACCCCATTTAAAAAATATCCTTTAACCTAACGGTAACTCAGAACTATATACTCTCAACAGTAAGGGCATGTTCTGCTATGATGCTAGCCACAATATGTAGCTGAAGTGTGTTTTTCTTAAGTGCAATGACTTTCAGGAAGCCTGTGTCTTCAATGATGAGGTCTGTTGCATCTGTGACATCCCAGTCATGAAGGTTTACAATCCAGTCAGAGGAGAATGGAGGCAGATTAATAATATTCCCTTGGTGTCAGAGACCAACAACTGCCGGATTATCAACCATGGGCAAAAATTGTTTCTGATCACCCCATGTACCCCGCAATGGAAGAAGAACCAAGGGACTGTGTGAATATGACAGGACAGGAGACCAGTGGATTAATATAGGTACCACATTAGGCCTATTCCAGTTTGATTCTAACTTCTTTTGCCTCTCAGCCTGAGTTTATCCTTCCTGCCTTGAACCTGGTCAGTTTCCTCACTGAGGAAGATGGTATTATACCCAGTGAATCTAGTACTGAACGAGATTTAGGTGGATTTAGTTAATTAGACTCCGAGTCAGGGAGTTAAGTTCTTTCTCTGATGATGATTTGTGGGTTCAGGTAGCCCCTCAGTGAAATGCACAGATAAGCAGGGTTTATGTAGGTTAAAAAACTTGAAACACTAAGTTATTTCTACTGCTTTGGAAAGTATCTTAAAAGAGAAACTCTTTTCCTTTGCTGGAATAATAAAAAGCTGATCAGTTTCAGGTTTGCTTTCAAAAGGGTATTGTTTGAAATAGTAATGTAATTTAATGCTAGGATTTAAACACTCAAATCAACTTATTTAATAATTTACTGTTCTGAAAGTCCAGTATTGATTTGATTGTTAAATATATTTGATTATACCAATTAATCTATTATTAAGTCTTATATTCTGTTCAGTGCCACAAGTACTGTAAATTTAATTTTCATTTTTAAAATAGATAACAGGTTGGATAGGAATTATTAGATAGGGTTTTGAAAGAATAAATTTTCCTTCAGAACAGGGTAGCAGATTTCCAAAACTTTAAGCTGGTGGGTTTTTACAAAACATGTTCTACTTTAAATATAATTTTCTAAGTTTTAGTTTAGTTTCCTACCTTTTTGTAAAGGAAAAAAATGTATATATGTTTAGTGTGACTGAATGGTGATTCTTTTTTGCAATAATACATACAGAGAGAAAGGCTTGTATGCTCATTAAAAGAAACAAGAAAAAACAAACAGGATTCTACTGTTTGAAATGAAATTTCAGTTTTAAATTTGTAATATAAAATCGGTTTTCACAAATAGTGCCAATTTTCCATCTAAAAAATTCCATTATAGTAGTGTCATCTATCCAAAAACCTTTTTTTAAAAAAGTAACTTACTTTATAGGTTCATATTTTTTATCTGTACTTGATACATGCTTCATTGAACTAGAACAATCTCCCCCTCTCACCACCCCCACCCACACTGGAAATGATTATGTATATTTGTATGTATTGCCTTCAAAATTTCAGGTGATTGTTAAAATATTTTGGCTGAACGATTTTGGTGTTCATGTTAGATGTATCAACAAGATGTGATTATTCTTTACTGTTCTGTGAAGTTTTGAAAATACATATAAGCTAAGAACGGTATTTCATTGAGATCAGTAGTTATTGCGTCCATCAACTAACAAAATCAAGTGCCAGCAAAGAAGTTTAAAACTTTAGGTTGTGTATAGAAATGTTTTGTGTAGCATTGAAATATTCTGTCAGTTTTATAAGTCACTAAATGTTATTATCAGCTTAAAGGTATTTTTGTATTAGAGTTTACAGTTAAATAACATAAGTGGATGATGGCATTTGGGGCCTGTAGTGAAAGTATATTTAGCCTAAAATATTTCCCTAAGCAGTGGTATATATGTTATTTTATTATGGTATTTTTATCTGGTCTGTGTTTCTCTGTGAACTATGCTCCAGTCTTTGTTTCTTTCTGTCACTGTCATAATGTGAAGAGAAGCACAGAAAGAGAGACTAAATCATACAAAACTGACATTGTTAAATGCAAGAAACTCTTAAAGACTAAGCACAGAAGAGAGACTAAATCATGTGTATGTGAAGAGAAGCACAGAAGAGAGACTAAATCATACAAAACTGACATTGTTAAATGCAAGAAACTCTTAAAGACTCTTAAGTGTTTACTGGATAGGTTGTGATGGTACATATGCATAATAAATGACCAGATGTTTAGGGTTTATACATTTTAACCAGTTAGAGTTATCTTCCTGAATCTTCATTCAATAACATGCTAATTCCTCTTTTGTGTTTATTCTCTAATGACAGAATGCTAACATTTCTTAAACTTTGGCAGAGTACAGAGGATTTTGTATCATATAGGGAGCTGAATTTTTTAATGAAATACCGTAGGATGAAAATGGAGAGGGGAAGATACGAAAGGTTAAAAGAAAGTCTTCTTAGCTGTTTTGAAAGGATCTCTTACTATATATGATTGTCACAATACATACACATGATAAAATACATACAAGTGTATAAATTTTTCTATACCCCTTAGAATGATCTTGAGTCTTTGTTCAGTAACATGCTAATTCCTCTTCTGTGTTTATTCTCTAGTGACAAAATGCTGACATTTCTTACATCCTGGCAGATTACTGAGGAGTGTGCTGTTCCCCTAGCAATATGTGTTCCTTCGAAGTAACAGACAGGCTTTAGTGGCCTAAGTCTAGCTTTTGTTCCATTTGATGGTCGGGAATGTTATAAGCACAGCTCTTAACATAGAAAGCTATTTCTTAATAGTGTTCTTTTTTGGCCAACTTTTCTTTACCAGTAACTTCCTGCTAGTAGCTTTTTGTTTTGTAAGGTTGAAATAAGACACTACTGATCACAACCAGATTATCCATTTACAGAATTAAGAATTCAGGTATGCAATCAATTGATAAAAGACAAATTGTCGTTCTCAACCTCTGAGTTAAGTATAAGCTAATAGTAATATCTTGGTTTACAACAAGGTTTTCTTGGGAAAGATTTTGATTTTGTGATGTAGTTGTGAATTAGGTAATAGACTAACCATTATTTTATATAGGTAAGTAATTTATACATGGTTAGTTACAAATAAAACTGGCAGTAGAACCCAGGCCTTCTAATCTCTTAATTTAGTGTTTCTGATAAATGTGTAGAACCCTTGCTTTTTTAGTGAGTGACACAACTATCAGTGTTGAAATCCCTTCTTGACAGGAAAGCACCTTTGTCTCAGTTAACTGGTACATCTTTTAACATATGCTCAATATAATGTCGTTAAGAATATATAAAGGATAAAATGAATTTAGCAAGCAGTTTATTTAATTTGGGTATAGGATTAAATTTTAATTGTAGTTCCCTTCTATCTCCTCTGGTAATGTTTTTTCTGTTTTGTACCTGGATCCTGTTGAGAATCTGATGAAAGCTTTTGACCCATTCTTCAGAAAAATGTACATGTTCATATTTTCATAAATTCAAGGATGTTAGGACATTTCTGAAGGTCATCTACAGACTCAGGGTAAGAACACTTGTGACAAAGTCCCAAGCACACTTCTACAAAAAGGAATTTGCATTTTCATAAGACATATGGCTCATATATTTTTGTAAAGGGAGACAAACATTGTTATGTCATTCCTAAAATAGTGCTAAAGAAATAATATACATTTACTATCTGAAAGGGATGTGAATAGTAATGGGCAATTCATAACAAAGGCAAAGTTGGCATTTCTGAAATTCAAATTTCTTCACGATGATTAACATGAGAAAAGTAACTAAATGTAAGTGATTTAAAGAAATGAGTCAACTGAGCTAATGTATCTGAAGGCTTCTTTGAAACTTGAAGTGTTATATGTGATGTTATTGTTTAGGAAGCCTGTTAGAAATACAAAGCAAAATAGAGGTTCCAGGTGTTTGAAACTGCAGACATCTGTTTATTAGACATATATCTAAGTAGCAAGAGTTGTTTTATAATGAGCAATAGTTGGTTGGAAGAGGTCATCTACCCATAAACAATCTATCTAAAATATAATCAATATGCTACTCACTGCTCATTAACTAGGAAACAGTGCTTTGCCTAATGTTATTTTTACCATTTTGTAGTGAAATGAAAAAATGTAAAACACAATGAGTTGTTAACTAAAATTACTTAAATGAATTTGTTTTAGATGTTCATAAATTGGAAATGCACAGAGTTTGCAACCCTATGTCAGCCCCCTAAACTTTAAAAAAGGTAGTTTGTCTTTGAAATCTTAATGTGATAACCAGAATGTAGACATCTACAGTCTGCTTCAGATTTCAACTCTTGGAATCATTTTATGCTGCCTGCTTTTTAGCTATTTTATTTTGCCTATATCTTTTCATCAGCTCTCACCCATATCTTAAAAACCTCAGCACCTTTTCATCAGTAGAACTAACTTCAAAAGAATATTCAGTATAGCAAACAAGATAAAGCAGAAAAGAATTAGGCAAAATTATTTATAGAATATATAACTAGCAATTCTAAAAGAATTGATAAGCTATTTTTGGAGCCACTGAGCTATTTTAGAGCCACTGAGATGCAAAGTTTTTTCTAATGAAGAAAGAGTTCACAGAGGCTGCCAAGTGTTAGAGTACCACATAGACAGTAGGTTTTGTGCCCTCTCCTTGACTCTGGGCCATTTTGCACCTAGATCTATTCCATCAGCTCCTATTCATTCCTCACTTCTTTAACCTTGTACACTAAACAAGACACTGGGAGTGTAGGGAACAGATGTGGTTGCATGCCACTTCTTTCATTTTTGAGACATATTTTCTCAGAAACTATGCTACTGGGTGGGCAGTCACCTCTCCAGTGAAATCAGCCTTTTGTATTTTCACCTCCAGACCAATTGTACCTGCTTGGAACCAGCATATCTTAATCAGGAATATTTTTTGGACGGACAAGCTATTCTTTAATTCTGGGGAAACTAGCAAATAGCAATAGCTCTCATGTCAACGTACAGTCTGATCAGAGTCTTGTCCTAACAGCTTTTTTTTTTCATCTTTTAACAGCTTTATTGAAAAAGAATAGGAAACCATTACCAAAATCAAGATAATGAATGTATCCATTTTCCCAAAAGTTTCATTGTGCCCCTTGGTAACCTCTCCCTTATTCCTCCTCTCTTTTCCATTCTCTGGGAAACCACTGATCCTACATTGAGTGTATTTCCTAGAATTTTTTTTATTGAAATGTCATTGATATACAATCTTAACATTGGTTTCAAATATACGACAGTGGTTCAACAGTATCCCATAATTTTAAATCCTCGCCCCCTCTAATGTGGTTATTGTCTATTAACATAGATGTCACAGAATCATGACCAACTTATATTGTGATTGCAAATTTTAATGGCTTTCTTTGTATACAGGAGATGTCATGGGGCAGTGTTTTCTTCTTACCTTATACATTAGTTAGAATCTAGGTGTGGTTATGTGCATAGAAATCCTATAGTTTTATTAAGATAGAAGTTTCTCTTATAAAAATCCAGTCTGTTATGTTGGCTCTGATCTAAAAAGTCCCTTGAGACCCAGGATTTCCTCTTTTTCTTTTCTTCTATGTTAGGATATTGTCGTGATCCACATGGTCCACGCTGGTTCACCTTCATGTCCATACTCCAGCCGTTAGGAAGAGAGGAGGGGAAAGGGGAGGCCTTGAGCCTTTCTGGTAAGGGAAGTTGTGTACATCACTTGCAAGTCATATGACATTGTCCAGATGTTACACCTAACTGCAAGGGTGCCTAGAAGGGGTAGTTGTTATTCTGGGTCAACATATATCTAGTTAAAATTCAGGGGTTCCTTCTTGTAAAATGGTGGAGAAAGGCTATAAGGTTATATTCAATCTCTACCATGCCATCAGGCCAGATTTTATCACATGGCAGCCAAAATGATTACCAGTCCTCCGAAGACCCACATCCTACCAGCTTAGAAATCCCAGAGGAAAAAGCAGTATTTTCAGGTATCTCTGGCAGGTAATTTGGGGTGGACTTAGACTCTGCATATACAAATCAGGCCACCTATAATACATGAACGTGGGGATGGGAATGTTGAGGAAGACAGATAAGGAAATAATGACAATGAAGGGTAATAGTTCCTACTGTGTCAGACTTCAAGTTGGGACTGTTCAGGTTACAGCATGCATTTTGTTTTGACCTGATTTTAGGGATATGAGGGGAAGCTGGAGATGGGAAACAAGTTAGTAATGTTGGTAAACATCAGATCTTGAGGCTTTGTATGGCATGCCAGGGAGTTGACTTGTTTAGCATACAGTGCAGATTCATTGAGAATTTTTAAATAGGGACTTCACACGAATTTGTTTTATTGAGACTTCTGAGTATATCGATAGTGCGAGGCTGTGGGTGCAAGATCAGAGGACTGCTGTTGTAGTATGGGCAGTGAGACGACATGGTCCTCCACAGGGGCCATAGCTATGGGCCTGATGAGGAAGAACCAACATAAGAGAAGTTACAGAGATTCCGCTGGACTTATAATTGTATTTTTGGGATGAGGGAGCTGGAAGGTGTATGAGAAGGGAAGGACTATAGGCTATTTCCCAAGTTTCTTGTTAAGATATTGTGCTAATGTATAGGTCAAACTTGTGTACCAAAGAGGACCTAAAATGAAAGATAAAAACCTGCTTCTGTCCATTCAGTTCAGAAGTGAGTTGTCAAGGGCTGGCAGGGTGGTTCTGCCCGTTAAGCTTCTTTGTGAGCCTAGGCTAGTTCCTGCATCACTTTCCCTCCAACTCCTATTGAGTTAACCCTCTGGGGCTAAGCGCACTCGCTAGAGCTGCAGGAAAGCAGAAAGAAAGGAAATGGAGGGCAAAAAATTCCTTTTTAAAGGACTTTTATATCACTTTTGCCTTTTCTTCACTGGAGAGGTCTTAATCATATCACCGCATCCAGGTACAAGGCCGACTGGGAAATATTGACGTTAGATGGGTAGCTTTGTGCCCTGCTGAGACTCAGGGGGCTTCTGTTGCTAAACAGATTAATGAACTATTATGTTTCAATAGACATGTCCACATTTCCTGTGTTCAATTCACAACAAAGTGCAGGCTTTATTGTTATGAAGTTCATTTCTAGCATCCCTAATCCTCCATCCACTATAGTGGAAGTTAAATTCCTATAATGCTGAATAATGATTTTTCACAAACAAATGCACCTGAGTGCCTTGAACACACACCTACATACACACATGAACACTACT